TCACCTCTCTGCCGACTCCCTCCTTCCCAGCACATAGCTCTACCTACCCCCCCCTGTATCACAGTAAATGCTGAGCAAATATTTTTTAACATTTAATTGTTTATTAGTATATACTCACCTCAATTCTATATAAGAATATAGTGATATGAGTAATTATTTTGAACTACTTAATATAGAGCAAAAATATGACATTGATTTAAATATATTAAATAATCAATATTTTGCTATGCAGTTAAAGCATCATCCAGATAAGGCGAAAATAATACAAGAAAAGCAAACCAATTTAACTATTTCTATTGAGCTAAATAAAGCTTATCAAGTTCTCAAAGATGATCTAATGCGTGCTGAACATCTTTTACTTTTAAATAACATTCACCTGGACGAGATACAGATTAGAGAGGGAATGACTAAGGTACAACTAAATGACATATGGTTTAATTTAGAACTGGTTGAGAATACCAAGGAATTACCGGAGCTAAAACATATTTTAGATAAAAAAATACTTGAGCAAGAAAAATTTATTCGTTCCTTAACAGTTGCCTTTAAAAATCAAGATATGCAGTCAGCGCTTGATTTCACGATTAAACTTAAATATCTTAGGAATCTAATTAATAATATACAATTAAAAATTAGCTTATGCAAATAATAGAAATCGGTGAAGCGGGGGTAGAGGAAACTAATAAACAGCTAGGGGTAGGAATTGATTTTGGTACAACTAACTCTTTGATTGCGTTTTCTCAAGGGCAAGTGCCAATGGTTATTCCAGATGATAAATCTAGAGAGCTTATACCGTCAATTATAGGACTTCAGGATGGTGAATTTATTATTGGTGAGGCTAGTAATACCACAGTAAAAAACCTTCGTTCTATAAAAAGGTTATTTGGTAAAAAACTTTCTGATTTACGAGCTAATCCATCGCTCTTTGGTCTAGTCAAAGAATATATAGACTTAGATAGTAAAGTTTTACGTCTTAAATTTGGCGCAAACCAAGTCATGACTATACCTGAATTAGCCGCCCAAATACTCATTCATTTAAAAAAACAAGCTATTAAGCAACTAAATTGTGAAATCAGTAAAGCAGTAATTACTATACCTGCTCATTTTAATGATGCTGCACGAGGAGAAGTAATGTTAGCGGCAAAAATTGCTGGATTTGATGTGTTAAGATTAATTGCTGAGCCCACAGCTGCGGCCTATGCTTATCGTTTAAATAAGAAAACAGAAGGGTGTTATTTAGTATATGATCTAGGGGGCGGCACTTTTGATGTATCAATTTTAAACATGCAAACAGGTGTATTACAAGTTATTGCTACAGGAGGAGATAATGTTTTAGGAGGCGATGACGTTGATCACTTAGTGATGCACTATTTCTGTAATAAATATAAACTGGCAGAGTGCCAAGAATTAATGAATCTGGCCAAAACCGCTAAAGAAACCCTCAGTTTCTACACTGAATTTAAGGGAAGTTTAGGGGCGGAAACGTTAGAATTAGATCGCGAAGATTTTGAGCATTTACTATTGCCCTTAGTGCAGCGAACTATCAATATTACTCTAGATACTTTAGCACAGGCTGGAAGGACTAATATTTCTGGTATTATTCTTGTTGGTGGGTCCACTCGCATACCTTTAATCACTAAATTTTTAGCACAAACATTTAACACTGATATTTTCGCGGATATTAATCCTGATAAAGCAGTAGCCTGGGGAGCGGCTTTGCAGGCAGAAAATTTGACTAGTGCAAATATCAATTCCTTATTAATAGATGTGGTACCTTTATCACTAGGTATTGAACTAAATGGCGGTATTACAGAAAAGCTTATCCTTCGTAACACCCCTATACCTATATCTGTCACTAAAGAATTTACTACTTCTGTGGATAATCAGCGCTTTATGAAATTACATATAGTGCAGGGAGAAAGAGAAATGGCCGCAGATTGTAGGTCTCTAGCTAGGTACGAACTAGAATTACCTTTAATGAAGGCAGGGGGAGTAAGAACAGAAGTAACATTTTCTATTGATGCTGATGGTATATTATCCATAGCAGCTTTAGAAAAAAATAGTGCTGTTTCCCACACTATTTCTGTAAAACCGAGTTATGGTTTAAGTGAAGATGAAATTACCACCATTTTAGAAAATGCTTATCAAAACGCCGCAGAAGATCATAA